GCCAGTGCTAGCCCTACCTGTCTCAGGCAGATGTGCTCTCTTCCTTAATTAGATTACGCAGGATCTCTAGACAGTAGGCATCCTTGAATGACCAAGTCAGGAGTGATGAGGAGTCTGATCTACTTTAATCTACCCTAGAGCTAGAGAGACTATAAATCTCACTCTTTGCTTGTCACACACAAACAAAATGCTGCACTAACCATTTGTTTAGGATGTAGAGAGAAACTGAATGGTATTTAAGTACACATATTCCCTTGAAAATCGTGTTCAGATGGCAGTATTTCCTGGTTTGTGACTGATGTAACCTATTCTGAAAAGAGTTATTTCATCATACAGGTGTGAAAGGGATGCTGCTGCTTACTGTTCTCACTATACAACACAGACATAAAATACTTCTTTCACTGCTTGGAAAAATTCAGAATTACTGACAAAATAATCCAATATGATATCACCACCACTAACTCATGTGCTCCTCCACATGTCTTAGGAAAACAAACGAGAGAGAGAAAAAAAGTCTGAAGCTGTCTTTACAACATGAATCCTGTGCCTGGAATGGTAACTTCTGCTCTGAGACCATCAGAAGGCCCCCTGGACTGGAGCAAGGCAGGGGGTTCCAACATAACATCATACACTGGAGCGTTCCAACATTCTAACTTACCATTCCAATGTTCCAACATACCAACTGGCATCATCCCAAGGACCAGATGGATACTACTTTTACGTGCACTGTATCTGCTTCTGGATCCCTCCCTACTTGCAGCATGCTGCACCAATAGGTGCACATAACAATAGGTGCTGGGGATGTCAGGGCCCAAGTACTTTTTCTGGACCTTCCAACTTTTTTTTTAGTGAGATTTGAGGAGAGTTAACACAAGAAGATTTAGCTGGATTACTATCAGCAAATGTGCATGGAAATACCTCCAACTATCCTGGAGCCTGGCACCTTCTCATAAGCTTGGGCCAGCTGCACAATTGCAGCTGTGCCTATGATAATACAGATCAGCCTCAGAGCTGTGCCAGTGCATGCACATGGAATATTAGTGACTGAACATGAAGTCTGGTACATTGAACTGAAAAGTCAGTCTCAGAAGGCTAGTATGTACAGCAAGTTACCTTAGCAAACAGTAGTTCACAGTAAATAATCTTAAAAAGATTCGCCCAGGACTCTACCTGCCTGTCTCAAATGTGTTGACAGAGGCATTTGCACTAATGTTCTTGATCACAGAGCAAAGTGACACCTCAAAACAGGCATGTACTATGACAATTACATTAAATTCCATCTGACTCCCTGCATATGCGATGCCTCAGCGTGCTCTCAGCATCCAGGGTGATGAGACTCTCATACCTCTGCTCCCAGTTATTATAGCAATGGCAGAGATCTGGCAGTAATTTTCCATCTCTGCAAGATGCTTCTGCGGCATCTTTTTAGCCAATCTAGAAGAAAATACCTACTTGCACAAGCAAAGGTCTTCCCCATATCTTTTCTATTTTAAACTTGATTCAGCTTCATTGGTATCTTTGAAAATCAGTGGGGTGATACAACTCAAAGCATTAACATAGAGAATGAGAGGAACTAAGGTGAACGCAGCCTTTAGACAAATGAAGCGTATTAAAGATTTTAAGTGACCTAACTTAAACGCCTGGTTCTAGAGATCTAAGGGTGGAGTTCCTTCACCAACCACCTAAATTACCACTGGCATTACCTTGTACTCTGTTAAGGCACATGACTTCTCACAGCTGTTCCACAGTGTCCCTTTGGAGTAAACCAGTTTGATTAACATAGCTCACTGCAATTTCATCTGTCCTACCTAAGTGAGGCCTTAAGTTTAGATTCCATATAAAGGTGTTTAAGAACCAACCTTGATTCTTCCTGCTACACCTATCTCTAAACTCATGTCACCTCAGAATAACTCATATAGCTCATATTAGAGGAACTGCAGCTCAGCAGCAGAATCTGGCCTTTTGAGACTGTCTTGCCAGTGTTACTGCTGCTGGAGAAACACCACCTGCTTGCATGGAAGTGAACCAAGAACATTATCTTTGTGAGGATCTGCTCCTAGGGATCACCAGTTGTGTTCTGATATGGTCACTAGAACTCACCTAAATCAGCAAAGCTGTGAAAAATATGAAATGAGTGTAGCACAGGAATTAAACTCCGGTTTTTGACTGAGCCAAATAAAAACGGCTTTGTACCAGCTGGGTACACCAAGTGAGGCTGAGTAACTTCATAATTTACATCTTTTAGCTGGTTAGCTTGCTTGCATCATCCCCTGCCATAAGATTTGTCCCATACTGCTGAACACTTACATTCCCACCTGACTGCAGAGGAGAGGCTCTGTCCTCAATTTGCCTTTGCCAGACTTTTCAAAGCCACATGGCCAGAGTCTGACCCTGACGTCAGGCTACACAGAGCAAAGAACCTACGTCTGACTCTACTCTGTGTGACATGTGTGGCACTTTAGTGGCCTTGCTTGAAAGAAAACAAGCCCAGCTATCAGACACAAAAGCCCAGTAATTAGAATGCATGGGTTTATTTGAGACCAGCAAAGTGAACCTTTAACTTCCCTGGATGTTCAAACCCAGGAGAAGCCTGTGCACTGAGCTCCTCAGAGAGGCTTAGGTGCTCAAGTGGTCAATGGGACATGTTTCTCAGGAGAACTCCCTTACAGAGTCATCTGCTCCATGGATCCCAGACTGCACTATGCTGAGAAAAAGGAGCAGGAGTGAGTCTAATCCCTCCCTTTCAATCTCTCCCTGGAGCAGGTTTTTCAAGTCACTCCACCAGAGGTTGTTATGTAGCTGCTGGGACTCACAGGGTTCTTAAATTCTCTGGATGCTCCTTCAAGGATTGCACCTGGCCTAGAAGGGATGTCTGGCTCTGAGAGATGTCATCTGGAATTCAGGGAAGCTGAAAGCCAGTTTCCTGGTATTTCCTAAGATCCATGTCCCACGAAAGCATCACTAGCTCCAGGATCTTCAGGAAGGAGGGCTGCAATGACCTAACATTAACTAAATGTGTAGCAGGGCTCCTAGCAGCAGTGCAAGCAGAGTCCAGTGAAAGCAGAAAGCTGTGGAAAGGACTGAAAGAAATGACCATGGTTTGGTTTAGTTTGTTTTTTACCTAGTCCTTGACACAATTCTCTGTCAAACAGCCCTGAAGAAATTTTCAATGAGAAATTGTTTCAGTTAAGAAATTATCAATTCTGTTGAAACAACTCAGCACTACGTGAGAGTGATGTTAGTTATGATGGACTTTCTGTACTTCTGTGTGGGTTCTCTGAGAAATCCTGGGAGAGTTCATTTGGAGTTTACTGTTAAAAGCTTACTGGTATCTGCTACCAATAACAAGCTAAGATCATCTTGATTTCTTCCTCTTCTGCCCCAACTGAACAACTCAGAAGGCTCTTATATTTTTATTTTTTTCCTTCTCTTAGAAAAGAAAAAAAAAAAAAAAAAAAAAACCACCCACAAAGAAGAGGTCAAATACAGACCACCTTAATCAGAGGTCCATTTTATTCTGCTTTAGCGATTGCCTATAAAATTGCATACATGTAAACTGCTGGTAAAAGCACCTAATGAAAAAAATCCTCTGAACTATTTGTAAAAGCACTTTACATCTTCAAAAGAAACTTTAGAGAAACTAAGCTTTCCCCCTGATGATTTAATGATAGCCAGTATTTAAAAGGCGCTATTTACATGATAGACAAATGCTCAAATGGGACTGCATACAAAGTGAATTATATCATAACTAGCTGCTACCACCTGCCTGTTAGTAGCACAGAGATGCCTTTCAAAGACAGCAAGGTCATTAATTTAGCAAGGTAGGGAAATAATTTTCTGGAATACCATTGCTACATTAGGCAGCTGAAATGCGGAGCTGTAATAAGGAAATACATGGATGTTTTGCAGATTCAGATAAACTAATAAGGAATTATCTGCATGCATGAATAGTCCAATGCAACATCACATACAGGTAACTTTACCATGCCCCTGTGCTTCTGATATATGTGGACCGCTTTCTCTGTTTTAAAAAGACAATCCTTTTTTCTCTATGCATAAATAGTGAGTATTATGACATGGTTCCTCACACCTGGAATACCCAGTTTGAGAAATTATAGTTGCTGAAGACATGCATGTTTCAGCTGTGGGGAGGAATAAAAGCATATTTTGTGCAGAATCCTGAACACCTTTCAGGACTGTGACTATTTTACCTTCCCGTCTCATTTTAAAGTTCTTTATTATTAGCTTTGCAATCCTCCATGTTTCAGAATAATCACACAGTTCCTATATTTGTTTCTAACATGGTGAGACTTCAGAAGATAGCTTGGTCACAGGTGACATAGAAGTCCATTATTATTTTTACTAGATGTTTCCAACTTATACCTATCACTGCCTGGATAGATTTTTATTAAACACACTAAAAGCTGGAAGAGAAAAACAAACCAGAAATAGTAAATTTATGAATTTATGCACAAATTTATTTATGTACAAATCTTTCCAAATGATACACAGAAAGTAAACAGTTAAAAATTTTCTTCAGGTTATTCTCCTTTGTAGAACGACACTATTTCACACTCAGATTTACAGGGTTCTCACAGCCATCCTGTACAGCCTGGAGATATAGTTTCCCATTCCCCCCCATAAAACAACAGGTTCAGTTTTAAAGGAGAGCAAGAACATATTCCTTTTGAAACAATCATTTTAATTCATTCTTGAAAGTGAAAATTAGTTACTTTTCATTTAAAAAAATGCCCGCACCTTATCCTTTCTTAAAAGAAGGTGCCCAGCACTGGTAATAAAACTCTGTGGAACCAGCACTGGACTTTAACAAGATTAAAACTAGAAGCAGATACAAGTCTTCCTGAAAGTAGTGGGATGTGACTTGTGTTTAATAATAATAAATTTAAAAAAAAAGGAAAAAAAAAAAAGAAAAACATATTAAACAAACCAAACAAAAATTACAAAACAAACTAAATTCAGACAATCACAGATGAGCTTACCTTTAAAGAAAGACAGGAACAAGGATGCCCAGAGACATAGTCCAGAATAAACAAATCCCAAGCACTTTTCTGTGAGCATTGTCAAAATAGGCTGGCTATCCTTCCTGAGCAGTGGATGAAGAGAAGATGAAGTCTTGGAGACAGCCTGCAATGACTGATGTATTTGGCAATTACAGTAATAAGGCATCAAACCAGCTTCCCACCAGGAGAGAGAAGTGCATTGGCTTGTGTGCTTCTACAGTCCCTAGGAGCCAAATTAGCTCAGCGCTCGGTCATTAAATCCAACCACAAAGGGGCTGGTTACTTTACTTGGGACTCACATTCCCAGGCACTCTGAGTCTTTTCTTGGTCAGAAGCAAAAGCTAGTGATTCACACACACAGCTGTGTGCGTACTGCAAGAAGGGGGAGCGTGCTGCCTGGGAGATGCTTTCCACATCCCCTCAGATTGTACCTAACTCGAGAGAGCACGTCTGCAGTGCTTCCAGTGCTTGCACTCGAGTGCCTCTAGAGCTGCTTCCCAGCAAAATGAATGTGTCCCTCTCTGTTCTCTCTCAGCTGCCTGTGCAACTTAAACACCTGTGGCATAGTCCCTCTGCCATGCTCCTGCTTCTACCAGCAGAGATAGCTGGGGAGATTCAATAATGCAGAAACTGGAAAAGATGAAAGTAGATATTCTGATGTCCTTTTTGGTGCAACCCTTCTGCAATCAGTAACCTGAGGTTAGCTATTACGTGATTGTTGTTAAGTCCCTTCAAACAGAACTATTCTATTCTGATCTCATTTGTTCTCCTCTATCCAGTTTGATTCTATTCTGTTCTGATCTATCCAATGCTATGACCTCCTATGGGAGGTCAAAGGCAGCATTTGACTTGTTCTCAGGGATTTCTCCCCTCATTCTCCCCTAACCAGGGAAGGCAGAGGTGATCCCCTCTGCTCAGCACCCATCAGGCTTCATCTTGGCCCTCTGTCCTGCCTGTGGTCCCAGACAGGAGATACACCGAAAGACCAGGGGAAAAGCAATGGCAGTTGCAAGGCTGGAAGAGCAGAAAGAAGCCTGTGTGTGAGAGCAACAACACAGTCATCCTGCCAGGCTCGTGCAGGGCCTCTTTGCTCTGAGCTGAGCACCACTGGTCTGCCCTGGGTTTCTCAGGGCCTCTTTGTCTCTCTCTGACTGCCTTGCCAAGCCCCATGGCAGCCAGAGCAGGGCAAACAGACGCTGCCTGAGGGCTAGGCCCCACGGAGGAGGCCAGCAGGGCTCACCTCCACGGCAAAAGCAGCCTGCAGGAGCACTGGGTCAGACTCCATGGCAGCCTGCGCATGGCACAGGAGCCGTGTGCAGCCATCGTGCCCAAGTAGGGGCATAGAGGCTCTGCATGAGCAATGAGCCAGGCCCCATTGCATTCCACGGGGTGCTCCAGGGGCCCACAGGCACCTAAACAAGGGCTCAGCTGCAAGGCCACATGGCCCTTGGGGCCCTCAGGCAACTGAGCACCATGCAGCCATTCGCTCACTCCCCCCATGGTGGGATGGGGGGAGAATCAGAAGAGTAAACGTGAGAAAACTTGGGGTTGTGATGAAGACAGTTTCATAGGTAAGGCAAAAGCCACATACACAGGCACAGCAAAAGAGGGAAGCCATTTGATACTTCCCATCACCATGTGCCAGGAGACCTCTGCCATGGCCAGCGCAACCTGACCATGCCTGAGGAAGATGTGGCTGAGGCCTCAGTGGCAGGCATGCAGCACCAGTGCCCAGCACAAGGCAAGCTACGGGGGATTGAAGGTGCAGCGGCATTGCACTAATGCCAGATGCGCGTGCTGGGGCCAGAGTGCTGCTCGCAGAGCAACACATGCTGGGAGAAACCATCAGGATGTGCCCGCCTGATGGATGGTGACATCACTGCACAATGGGTTCAGAGGTCCTCGAGGGATGGAACGTGACATCTGAAAGCAATGGACTCTTGTCCCTCACTGCTTCAATCCAGGTGCCAAATCTCACCCAGCGGCTCGCGCCCACTGTCCAGCTGAGCGAGTCCGCATGGTCTGGAGTGTTGCACAAGGCTGTTGGTGCTGCTGTTGTTCCTGGGGAGTTGTCGAGTGCAGCTCCCAGTGCCCGATGCCAGAGCTGTTGGAGGATTTTCCGCACCCAGCCCTGCCAGGTTCAGGCAGCTGGGGCACCCAGGAGGCACGCTTGCAGCAGCAGAGGTGAGCTGCATGGGGAAACCTCTCCCTGGGCAGCTGGGAGGGCTTCCTTCTTGAGGGACCTGGGCATGTCTTCCACCCCTTGTCAGGCCAGACAACAGTTGTGCTCTCTCTTCCTTTTCTAGCTGAACACCCACTGATGCAGAGGCCACGAGAGGGAGCAGCTTTGTTATCCCCTGTTCTCTCCAGCCCATTGCAGTCCATGGAAAGCATGGTCATGGAGCTGGAGACCCAATGCCCAATGTGCTTGGACAGCTGGGCAGACACCAGCTATGTGATGCCGTGCCTCCACCAGTTCTGCTGCACCTGCATCCTGCGATGGGCTAAGAGCAAGCCCAAGTGCCTCCTTTGCAAAAGGAGGGTGAGCTCCATCATGCACTCGGTGTGGGGGGATGACTTTGAGGAGCATATCATCCCACCACCTGCACTACCACCAGTCATTGTCCAGTTGGCAGGAGGAGCTGAAGAACACCCAGCCAGCCAACACCTCCAGCACCCTGCATCACCCTGACCAGCAGGGGCAGGGCCACTGCCCTGGGCTCCAGTGGGCAGCTTCCACACCTATGTCTGGGCATCCCTCTTCCCTGTCTACCCTGCTGTCCTCCAGCTCCTGCTGTCCTGGGGGCCTTGTCCCCACTGCCTCCTGATGTGGGTCCCAACAGCCTCTTCTCTGCCTCCATCCCCACCACAGGGAGCAAGAAGAGGTCCAGGAGGAACCCGCGGAGGTGCTGCCAGAGCCCTCCATGCACAGCCAGGGCAACAAGCACTGCCCTGGGAGGCCCCAGCGAGCCCCAGCGAGGAAGGCCAGCAGATCCCAGGACCCTTCCAAGTCCCCCAGGAAGACACCCCGTCATCAGTGATGCTGGGAAGGTGCCTCGGGGGACAGCTTAATGGGGGATGGGCCACACACCAGCTGCAGCACACACCAGCCCCTCGTGATCCCAGCCCCCAATCTATTTAGCATCTAATATTTAATAAAAAATTAAAGCATCAAAGCTGTAGAAAAATTCTCTGTGTTACTATCAATGCCTTGTGCATTGCTATCCCAACCTGCGCTGCTTTCTCCCACTTCTCCTGGTGCTACGGCTACTGTTTCCTAACGTGTCCCCCAGGCCCTATGGACACTGGGATTGGCCTCTTGTGACAGGGGCTGCAGCAAGGCAGAAGTTCAACCAGGTAAAGTGCAAAGTCCTGTACATGGGATGAAAAATCCTAGGCACCAGCACACTCTGCGGGCTGGCTGGCTGGAAGGCAGCTTGACAGAGAAAGGTTGAGGTGTCCTGGTGGACATCAAGCTAAACATGAGCTAACAATGTTCCCTGGCCACAGATAACGCTAACAGCATAATTAGAACCTTTACATGAAAAAAGCAACAACCTCAACGTTACATATTCACACAAATGGCGGAAAGGATCACAGTGCATTTCTTCCCACATCAGTATCTGGAGGGAAGGGATTCCTTTGTAATGTAACATGCTAAGTAATCCCAACATTGCTAATGTAGGTGGAAGAAAAAGGAGTTTTACTACTCCAAGAAAGACACCTTGATCCATTCATCCAGCCAAGACTCCTGAAGTGTATTTGACTGCAGGAACCTTGACTGCAGCTTTGGACAAGGCCAAATCTCTTTCTTCCCCACTTCATCAATGACCGTTAAGTTGCCGAATGCTGTGGATGTTATAAATTTGCAGCACATTTCCTCACATGGACGCTGGGGGATGTTTCCTGTTGGTGGCACACATCTATATCTTATTTGAGTACTTAAATTACCTTGACAAGGCAATGAGTTGTCAAAAAGCTATTCTTTCAGCTTCTCCCAGCTAGTTGATTTCACCCATTTTGATCTGGGCTTTCTCATCTGTTTTGTTTCAGTAACTCCACATTCCTGCACAGAAGGCCAAGAGTTTAACAAGCAGCCTAGGATGATACATATTTCAGTGACAAATGTTGTGAAATGTTAAGTTTTATTTGTTCATGAAGATGTCAGAACTGGTCCCTGAGTCTTTACAGCTTGAAATGTTAGAAACCTACCCATACTTGGCCACAATCCCAAATCTTCAAGGTCTTCCTTTATCAGGAGTAGCACTATACAGGTAAGGTGTCCTCCAAGACAAGATAAAGTGGGCTCAAACATGGTTACAGACCAGGGCCCATGTTCTCCCTGGGGTAACCACAGCCTCTAACACTGCACCATGAAATAACGTCAGTTGAATTGCTGACCCTCTCTAAAGCTGCTTATTTCTGATTTCTCTGCTGCCATAGAAGAACAGTGCTCAACTCACACGATTTAAAATCAGACACAATCAAAGCAGTTTATCAGTTTCTCAAGTATATGCAATTAACTGTCAATCAGCTTGTACTTCTAGTCTCCTAAGAGGTCTTGGGCTGTAAGTGGGGAGGGCAGTTGGGCAGGCCCTACCTTCAGGTCCCAGACCTCTCCTATAGGGGATCAGCACTCAAAGCAGAATAGAAAAGGAAAATGAAGCTGCAATTGCTCCCTGCAGCAGGAATAGAACAGTTTCATCACCATTCTGACCCAGAGTTAGGTACCCCCAAGCCAAAGTGAGAAAGAAAAACATAGTCCCTGGAGTATTATTTTCCTTCCACATTTTGGGCTACAGTATGTGACAACTTCACTCTGCCTCTCACACTTTTGCCTCTGCTCCTGAAGATGAGTCTTCAGATATTGCCGGCTCGTGGTGGATGGGAAAGGTCTTCAGTGTGTTAGAGGAACTGCAAACATAGGCTTCATACTTACAGGTGGCAGAAACAAGCATGTCTTACTACAAAATAGATACCCTGGAGCCTAGAAAATCATACTGAAAAATCATCCTTTTTCACTGTGGTCCTGCGAGGCAGTGGTGGACAGGTACCTATGGATGGCTTTTGTACCATGCACTTGGGGAGAACGAAGCTGGGGGCCAGTCTTAGTGTCATGGAGTTGGCAGGCCAGAGGGCACTGAAGATGACAAATTTTCTCCTTTGAAAATCATGAGAAGGCACTAGTGCTATGAATGACAGTATGTAACTTACTGCACTCCCAAGCTGGAGCCTGGCTTCTTCTCAGGCTCATTGCTCACACAGGCTTGGTCATCAGCACAGAGGCCTGAATGTGCAGTTCTCTGTTCACAGGCTACTGACAAGAAAGGAAACAGCAAGAGCAAGCTAACACATGCAAGTCTGTGTTGCTCCTCCTCTCTCCTGTTCATCTGAACTGTGCTGCTACTGCAAAAGGCTTACCAAGAGATGATAAAAGCAGGCTCTTCTGGCTAAGATCATACAGGAAGGATGCATACCCTTCAACTCTGGCCAGATTCATTGCTCAGCCTCCCTGTCCTATAGAAACAGATTAAGTGAATACAGAAACTAAGATATTCCACCAAAAAACTGTGAGGCAAACATTTTCTTTTGCAACCATTTTCCTCTGTGAAAAACTGGGATAAACTACTGCGGACTGGAACTTGTGGAAAAGGTGCAATACAAAGCTCTGTCTAGAAGTTTGCGCTGTA